TGGACCTGATGATATTGGGAATTTTGATGCAGTGTTCACAGAAGAAATGGTCCCATACTCAGTTTGTGTTTCTTCTGACTACAACATTGTTAATGCCAGTGTCCTAGAGGCAGATGATGCATTTGTTGGATTTTCTTACGCACCACCTTCTGAAGATGGGTTTTCCTAGGAACTTAGAAGCAAAGAGTGGTTTGGAAGTTTTGGGTTGAACTGAAATGTTAGGATTATGGACACATTCTGAAATAGCGTAAATAGTGCCTCGTCTTGTATGTAGGTTTGAAACCTATGAACAAACTTTCTCTGCTGTATAGGAGGAATTTGGGCATTTTGGATGGCTTTCTTTGGGGTTTGAACTGTTTGTTCCTGCTGCAGAAAATATTTTTTAAAACCTTTAAAAAGCATTCTCTACATATTTTTTAAGCAAAAACACTGACTGTTCTCCTCAATCCCTTTGAGTTTACATTCATACCTATCTAATTTGGCTGGCACAAACAGCAGCAAATTTAGTAAATTTATAAATGCTTTTGTACTTATTTACAGTGACTTTGTGCTTGAATTGTAACTATGCAAATTGTCTTTTGTATATCCTGGTTTAAAAAAAGGTAAATGTTTTCCCTGTTACCAGTTTGGAATATGTGTTAATTTACCTGTCAGCACTTAAATGATATAAGTTAAGGACCAAGAATCTTAAGGACTTCTGCAGAATGAAGACTTGGTTACATAAAACTGGATTGTTGCTCTTGCACTTGCTGAAGTACCCATTGACTCAACTGGATTGTCTGAGGTATGGGGGGTTACTCAAAGCAAGGACAGAACAAATTAACTGGATTGATTTGATAACATTACTTATTACGTGTTCTATTTTTCTTTCTTCCCTAAGTATGTCTATATTTCAACTACATTAAAAGTATTTTTGGTTAAAGCTCTGCTTCTCCAAAGATCTGATATGCAATAATCATGGTTACTTTAAAAGTAAGTCAATTAGCTTTGACATTTTGGGGGTGGGTGGTGAGATGATCATGCCAAATATTAGGGATTTTTCTCACAGATTGGTAGTTTAAAACACTCTTATGTTCCAAATTGATTGTATTTCAGCATTCATAGCTACTTGTCTTAGTGTTCCAGTTTGCACCATTTTTAAATCTTCACTTGATATTGGGGGGGGGAAATGTAAATTACACTGATAATTTTAGGAATGTGAAAAGCTATTGTCTTTCTCATACACATGTATGGACAAACATAATTCTGAACAATTTCTGTTTAAGGAAATTTTTTTTAAACAATGCAAAAATTGACTGCAGTTACAGTGTATAAAAGGCATATAATGGTAGTAGTTTATTATATATATTACTTGTAAATAACAACTTATTTTTGTCTGTTACTCCAAAAATGTTCAGTGTTTTTTTATTCATAAATATATTCAGTTAAATGCCTTGATTTTAGAGAAGTATGGTAAGATACCGATACATCATAATGATACATAAATTGAATGAATGTTACATAAATTTCAGTATCTAAGTCAACTTGGTTTTGGCAAAATAAGCAGCTAAAATAAATACTCCTTATACGTCAAGATCAGATAAGAATTGAGAACCATGGGGTGAAAGTGTATCAAATCATAATGCTTTTGAAGTAAATGTTCTATCAATACATTGATAATGTAGAAGAGTGGTAAGAAAACAGGATTCCTTGCTTACCTCAAGGGTTATCTTCTGTGGCATAGTTTTCTGCATAGTGGTGATGCTTAGCAGTTGCTACATGAGGTTTTGGAAGAAGTGTTTGGGTAAAAAGTAAGAATCTACATTGGCAGGGGAGGAAGGAAGGAACTGTATCATTTGTGGGAGCAGAATGGTGCCTTAGCACTCATTTTCCATAGTTCTCTTCTGCAAGGGTTGAAAAAAGCTGTTCAGGACAACCAAGAACTATGTGAATCTTTTCCTTGACATTAAAATAATTTGGAAGTAACAGCCCTGGGTTTTTTTTGGGTTGGGGGGGTGGGGAGGTGTTTGGTTGTTTTGTTTTGGGGATTTTGTGTTGTTTTGTTCTTTTTATTTATTTAAATTTTTTTAACATGGCTTTCTGATGGACTGGGAAACAAATTTATGGTATGAAAGGAAGTATTCATTCTCATACTTAATTTTTAGTCTGTATGCTCCTGAAATTGTTGTGAAATTATGTGGCTACTGTAACTACCTTCTCTTTATGGCAAGGAGGTACAGTGCTGTATAGGGATGTGAAGGAGAGGGAATATTTCAGAAATTGTTGTTGTGGGAACTGGCACCCTTTTTAATTTTTGTCTTGTATTCCAAAATGTTCATACCTAGCTGCCTGAATGTATGAAGGGTTTTGGATTTTTTTCTTTTCTGTCAGAATTCAGGGGATCATTCCTTTAAAAAAGAAAAGAAAAAAGGTGGCAATTGAAGTTGCTCCTTGGAGAGCATCTTAATATTTGCTTATTAAGCTTTTTCCTTCAGCAGACTCTCCCTTTTGGCAAAGTGTGAATGTGTTCAGCATATCACTTGAAGTACTTAAGTTCTTTGAACTAAAGGTTAACAGACTGTATAACATCAGGCAATAAAACCTCACAGTATTTCTTGTTCCACATCTCTGTGCATCCCATGAGGATGGTTTCCAAAGACGTGCATTTGGAGGGTTATAGCTGCCTCACCCAGGGCTGAGCTGAAAAAGGGACATCTGAAACACTTGGTAAAGCCTAGAGAGGAGAGTGGATCTGCACAGGAACCGACTATGCTACTCTTTTCCTGTTTTGGCTGATAGGTAATAAAGGAAGGCAAAATGTGCCTTTTTGTGACTAGTGCAGGGGGTTTTGTTCTGCCTGTCTGGAGTGGAAGGGGATTTGTTCCTCCCCTTGCGGAGAGGGGGAACCCAAGCACCCCGTGAGGAGCAGGCCTTTCTCCAGTGCTGTGGAGGCCGGGAGCGGCGCTGCTGGTGTGGTCTGTGATCTCCTGGCGGGGCGGGGGGAACGAGAGACCACACGAAAGGTGGACTGACTGAAATGCACAATGGTTGTAAAAATGTGAACTGAAATACGACACAGATAGAGCTCAGAGTTTCCCTCCCGTAGAGGTAAGTTTGGGAGTGGCTGGCATGCTAAAGGCAAGTTAAAACAGCCATGTCCCGTGCCCAGCGGCCTGCCCGTGGCTGAAGGCAATGGCTGTGTGAGGCCGAGTCGCCAGTCCCGGTGGTGGCCGCAGGGCTGGGGTAGCTGTGGCTGTGGGGTGGGTTGGGAATTGCCTTCCCTGAGGACTTGCACCGAGCACGGGCACTTCCCGGGCGCGGCCGAGCCCTGCGGGCCGTCGCTCTCACCGCGCCGCTGGCCGAGGGCCTGAGGGGGCGGCGCCGGGAGCGGCATCCCGCGGCTGCCGAGCCCCCGCTGCCGCCTCGGACCGGGCCGCCTTCGCCTCCCCCGCGGGCACAGGGAGCAGCGTGGCGGCGCTGGAGCTGAGGGGCAGCCCGGCCCCCGCTGCTGCCGCCCCAGCAGGGCCGGGGGAGGACGGGGCGTAGGAAGTCTGGTAAATAACTGGTGGAGAGGTCTGTGAGGCAGGGGTGCCGATGGCAGGGAACTGAAGCCACGAGGGAGATGCTGGGTGTCTGTGCCGAGTCACACCTGGCGGTGTGGGGACACCTAGCTGGCTGTGGGGACACTGGTGAGCACCATCACCTTGGTCAGGCTTTATTTTCCAAAGCTTAGGCGACGGCTACTCAGTGCACAGTGAGCGGGACCACAGCTCAGTCCTTCCTGTCATATGTGGTGTCCCGCATGTCCAGCCCTGGTGACACAGGACCCAGGAAGGTACAGTGGATCTGTGTGTGTACATTTCTTTAAGCCCATCTTGCTGAATATTTCAAGGGATGGAGCAGTAATTGTGCAAGTGTAATCCCAAAGACACTGGGGGAAGGAATCCCTATTATAAATTATCTTTTAACTTTTTACTTCAGGCACTAAACACATTCCAGCCCACAGTGTACAGTTCTCAGGCCACAGGGTTTACGCTGCTGCCATACTGAAGTTGAGCTGGAATCCAGTTACTCCTCTTGGATGTTGATTTGTTTGTCCTCTCAATGTAATTTCTCTGAACTCCTGCAGGGAATATATCATATGCTGTGAGCTTTGACTCCTCATCAGCTCAGTAAGTCCATGTCCTACCCATTACCAGGAAGCTAAGTTTTATTTTTGAAGATTCAAGTGTTGGTTCATATTGGTTGACTACAGAGAGGACTAAGGACATTTTTCAGAAGAAAATATGAAAGACATTAGAACAGATGCATATATACAAAACACCATATTTTGGCCTTAGTAATTCTCCTAAATTCTGCAAAGTAGTGCTTCATGGTACAAGACTCTACTCTTAAAAAAAATAGAAAGTTACGTAGGTAATATGCAATGAAAACCATACTAAAGAGCACAGTTAGCCTCCAAACCAAAATTGTAGTTGTGAAAGCTTTGCCAGTGGGAATCAGAATTGTTCGTCTGTGTACATGCATGGAAATAAGTGCAAGATCAGCACCTTAGGTGTGCGCTACATGAGATCACAGCAGGGTAGGAAAGTCAGATTTTAAGAAAAGAGATGTTTCCCAGTTTCACATTTTTAACAGCTATGACAGACTTCTCAAATAATGGAGATAAAATTTTAAGTCTTACTTTTAATAGACTGATTATAAAATCTACAGGGGACGTGAAATTAAATGGAAACTTTAATTTCATGGATTAGGGAATTAGAAGAGTGAAATAATTCACTGAGGAAAACACTAGAGCATTTTTCAGAAATTTACTCTAGAAATAGGGTACAGTTCAGTCATTGGAAAGAGCTTTGAACTGAATTTTAAAAATCCTTCAAGTGTTGCAGTTTGAAGAAGACACTATTTTAATTTTGCATGGCTTTGTTAATACATACCTTTATTATTACTATTATAGCATGGCCAGTGCTGCCATAATTTCTTCACAGTTTATTCCCACAGTTGGATAAAGAGCACAAAGATCTTGGAAGATGGATCCTGAAATACAGAAAATGAAGGAAGTTGTCCTTGTCTACCTTGACAGAAGTGGTGGCCTTCAGAAATTTGTGCATGATTGCAAAAAATATAATGGTATTACTGAACAGATAGTCTGTGAAACTGATACATAGTGTTACACAAATCTCTGTTACTTTAAGATACTTTTTGCTCCTACAGACTCAAAACAAAGTTATGCTGTTTATCGTTTCATTATTTCAATTAATCCTTCTGACATTGCTGAATTGGATGCAACTCTTGGAAACTATATTCTTCATAATCCCCTACAAGCTGCACAGATTTTTCAGTCAGTAAGTGTATAATAGATATGTAGACAAAAGTGCATCATCTAAATTTTAAAAATATTTTCATTTCTAAAATGAAATTATTTTTCCATCACAGGTATGCTTTGTAGCTATTAAGACATTATCATTAATTGAACAACTGCAGACAGAAGCCCAGGTGAGTCTGCATTGGTTTTCTCTATTTAGATCTTGAATTTTCTAAGTATAGTGAAATATTAACAAATATTTTTGCATTAAGTTTTCATTTTCCCTTTGGTTGCAGTATTATTTATAATTAAAAACAGCTGGAAGACTCACCCAACCATATTGCCATTGTGACATTAATTAATATGAAACCTAGTTACTCATGTGTTTCTGAAATTTTTAGTTATGTATGTTGTTTGTCCGTGAAAAATAAAGCAGTTTTAAATAAAAATGTTTTTATGATATTAATGCAATTGTATCTCTTCCTAGATAAGTATATTGCTGAAACCAACACATTTGCCACCTTTACCAAGTTATGTTCTGAGTCTTTCTGCATATCCCTTTAATTACACATCTCAAAGATTCTATATGTCTGAAGGGATAGTGATTGCAATGGGAACTATAACAAAATACACACAAGGAGCAAGATTTCTTTGTACTGAGGAAACCTGTCCATTCTCTGAAGGTAGTAAAAAATACAAAAATTAATCAGTACTATTTCAAAAGCTTTTTAATAAATTTGGTAGTAAGATTAAAAACCTAGCCTAACAAAGGTATTTTCCTATATAGTTTTATTATGCATACAATTTTGTAATGAGCACAGCAAGATTTCTGTTAATTGAAAGGAGTGGACTTTCTCAGCACTATTAAATGTTTTGGAAGAATAGATATGCCAGCAATCCCTTTTCCTAATGCTGAAGATAGTTTATAGGAGAAAACATAAGTCACCTGTAAAACCTGAATATATTGAATATCTTAAATATCTTCAGTAGCAATAAAATATCTCAAAAGTAAATAAGCTAAACTAGTAAAATCCCTTTTTCCTTGGAAACTGTTTCTGTCTGTAAAAAAAAAAAACATAGAACAATATGCTTAAGTGGCTGGCAAAAGCTACTAGCATAGAACAAGTGATGCTTTGATGAGTTGTTAACTTCTGTGGAACTCCTACTTTGAGTACTATTCCTGAACTGCTTGTACCATTGCTGAGAGAGGCCCTAAGTACTTTTAAGCCTGCTTTTTTTGTTGTTTCTTCTCTAAGAGAGACCATACAGTTATAAAAGAGATGCAAAATCCCAAAGTTTGGAGTGTGCAGATTAAGTCATACAGACATCTTTACGAGGACACGTATCTCTAACGGTGACCATCCATATTCCACATCATTCCCATGCCAGGCAGAAGCCGCAGTGGCTCACTCCTCAAAAAAGCCCAGCCAAGCTGCTCAGCTTGGGAATGTGCAGTAGGAAACCCTGCCATCTCGTGGCCAAACACAAACAATTAGATGCATTCTTTTAGTGGAATATATACTGGAGTATATATTTATATACTATACTATATATAGTGGAATATAAAGGAGGCTCCTCTAAAGAAGCATATAATAAATTTAGAATTTCACTGTCCAGTATTTCAATTGCTTCTGTTTTTCATGGGGAATTTAAAACTAAAGCTATGTCCTCCTTTTAAATGGTTGGTAAATTATTACTTTTTTTTAGGGTTTAGGTGCATCAGAGTGCATTGTCCTGGAGCTACAGAGTCTGCTACAGTGAGAACTGATTTTGTGTGTAGCTTGTGTTCTTCACCACTGCAGGAAGACATGAAATTTAGAGTACTTGGTGGTAGGATCTATGCAATCTTACTTTTAGATCTGGTAGTTTCCTATTTCTGTTTCACAATAAGTAAAATATTTAAGTGGAAAAAGCCCACTTAAAATACACCAGTCTTTTAAAAAAAATATGTTTTCAAGACAATTAACCTTTTCCTTTGCCTTTGTTTTGAAAGATAAACAAGTAGTTGAAATGATTGATGCTAAAATTCTGAATGCTTTGAAAGGATATTCCACTGATAAATCACATTTTAGGATTCAGGCATTTACATTGTTCTTGAGAGGTAAGCTGAACTTTGGAGTTCTGTCAAAAATGTTTTAGAACTGATCTATAATAATCTCTTGCAATTGTAGCTGCTTTTTTTTTTTTTTTTTCTAAAATGGTGAAAGTCATAATTTTTATTGCAGTTATTTCTGTATTCCCCTTCCCCCCCAAATTTTATAGAAAGCAGCCAGGTGACAAAGCAGTGTGCACGTATGATTGCAGAGTGTAGACAGCAAAATTATTGTGTCACTTTTACAGCCCCATTTAATTAAAATACCCTGGTCAGCCCAGTAGTGTCTTCTTTTTATCTCCTTTCTACTTCCTTTGGTCATGCTGTTCTGAACTAACTTCGTGTATATTTAATGTCCTTCCTCAATCTAGCTGATTTCACATTCCATCAGGATTTTTGACTACCACTGCTGTCCACTGCAAACATTAAATGATTTCTAATGTTAATAGCTAACTAAAACCACAACTTGGCAACATACTTCCATCAATTCTTAAAAAGACCCCAAATAAACACTAAGACAAGCAACAAAGAAATCCTTTTCCATTCCAAAACTCTATGGAATTATATGGTTCATTTATTGAAAACTAAATAGAAAGAACTAATAGTACTAAAATTATAATAAAAATTTATAGAATAATCTATGGTCAAGATACTGAGAGTTGCATGCATTAAATTTCTCCTGGCTCTAGAGATCAGTGTGGTTACAGTGTTTCTCAGGCTGAGATTGAGATCTGGTTGCATCTAATTTTCATTTTCAAAAAATATATGAGATTTGGTTTTCTAAAGTGCACAGAAATATAAAGGTTCACAAAGCTATTTGTGTGTCTTTTTGAAATCTGTGTAGTTTGTTATCTCCTCTTTATTGTGTTGGATTTTTTCTCTGACATTTTATAAGACACTGACTGATAACAGTCGTTCCGCAAGTTTCAGAGTAGGAAATACACTGGCAAAAAAATATCCATTTTTCTTTTCAATGCAGGACTAAATGCATTGTCCCTTTTCTTTATCATGAAATCTACTTTCCCCTCACCTGGTGTGCCTTCCTTTCCTTTTGCACTAAATGATTAAAATTGTATGTTTCATTTCATTCTAGTCCATCATCAATCTGGCATCCAGCTGTTTTCTGCCAATGTTAATTCACAAAATCAATTGTTCAGAATGTGTAAAAAATTTCTGACCATGTCTTTAAAACTATTTTTATGCCCTAACATATCTGTAGCTTTGGCCCCCTGCACTTAGTTTTTTATTATTTGCAGATGAACTGGCCAATAAAATGACAATAGGAAACCACTACAGAATTATAGGAATTCCAGCTTGTGTACAAAATGGCCTACAAGCAACTGCATGTATAGAAGTCAATAGTGTAAAGCTCTATAAACCAAATGGTAAGAAAGTTCCATTAAAAACTGACTTAAAAAATACCCTGGAAAACCTAGAAAAACATCTTGAGAACTGGTAAAGTTTTTTATTATCTAGAGGTCCAGATCACAAAACCACTTGGGGACCTTCCTCTTAGTCTCAAATGTGTACTTGCTGTTATTTGAGAATATCTACTGTTGCCCGCTTTCCATGCATTGGGAAACTCCCCAGTTATTTACTGTAGTTCTTCAACTTCTCTTTCCATTTCCTTCTATCCATTGGAAAGTACTTTGAAATCATATAAAATGAACCTGATATTTCAGTGTGTTTTTCTTTCTTATTCCATCAGTTCAAGCAGATCATGTCTGCCACCTTTTTAACAGTAAGATTAACAGTGTCAGAAGCTTACATTCTGAATTTGTGCTTAATACAGAGATGTATTTGTTTTTGGGAAGTTTTTGTATCAAGACTCCAATGGTGATTTGTTCTAACATACCTGCATAAGTCTCTTTAATATGATTGTTTCCATTAGGTCCTTCTTTTGTAAGTGAGAATTTTAACTATCTTCTCTCACTGACTTCAAGTTCACGCTGGAGGTTTACTGCTGTTCTGGCCAACATCTTTGCTTCTCAAGTTGTTCCACCAGGCACTTACAATACTCTTAAACTTGCAATATTGCTGAGTCTGGTACAGACATGTGAAAAAGAAAATGCTGATTATCTGGATCTCTTGATTATGACAAGTGACACGCTAGTAACTGACAGGTAAAGAGATTCCTTTTTTTCCATTTAAATTAGAATTTAAAATCTAGTCTTAAAGATAATAGGATTGGTCTTACATGAAAAGCTAGATACTTTGTTTGAAAAGAATATACAAGGCTCTAACTTAGTTAAATATTCAGTTTTTATCCCTGGGACATTTTTGTTTCTTTCAAATGATAAATCTAGATTAGAACTTCATTAATTATAAAACCTCCTAAAATTCTCATACAATTATGGTGAGAATTTAACACTAGCGCTGTTTTGCAGAGCTCATATAAAACATTCTTCTAAAATCAAAACTGAAGGCTGTCCTAGAACAGCCTTTTTTTTGGTAACAAATAAAAGGGCTCAACTTTTCAGACCTCGTGTTAATTTAAGACCTCTTACCACTGACTCCCAGCTATCAGCCTTTTGAAAAAATAAGCAGTGTATGAATAGATACTTACATTTTTATAATTTTCATAAAAACCACTTGAATGAGGTATCAGCTTTACACACAGATTATAAATCTGGCTGTTGTTGCCTTTAAGTATTTTTCACTATGCATTTTATGCATTTACTTATTCATGTAACACAATTTTACATACACTGCAGAAAAACACATGCTACTTTCTCCTTCCATAACTTAAGATCTCTGAAAGGGGCATGAATTTTATTTTAATTTGCAAATTATTCAACCAATTCACTAGTAATTTTTGTTGTGAAAAAAATCCCAAAATTTTGACCACTTCAAAATTTAGCGGTAGAAATTAGTTCAAATTTTCAAAAACATGAACTGCAAGATTTTTTTCCCACGTTAAGACTTCCTAAGAGAAACAGGAGTTCAGTGTTTTAAGAATCAAAACATCTGGTTAATATTAAAATGGTTGCACACTGTAAATCATGATCAATATTGTAATTTGTACTATCTTGCATGTACACAGTATTTACTGTCAGCAGCCTGTCAAAGTAGGCATTTCCTACGTATTTCCATTGGTGCAATACCCTATTTACTAATTCTTACTAATTTTACTTAGTAATTTTCTCTCAGGTCCCAATAGTATGACAAACCTAGCTCTGATGTCTTAAAATTGTTAAGAGCCGTTGATTGTGGAACCAGGCACAATTTGCAACCTCTCTGTGCCAAAGAACATAGTACAGGAGATGAAAAAAATATTTTATACCTTCTTTCTCCAAAAGAATTGGAGGGGAGTGTGTAACTCAGGAAGGCAGAGCTTACAAATTCCAGCCTTTCCATTTTTCCCAGAAGTCTAGAATTATTAATCCTCTAAACTTTTAAATCACTGGAAAAGTTTCTGCAGAACAGGAGTTAATGTGGGGTTAAATTACGAGAAGTCTTTGATTTCCTAGGAATTACTTCTGCAACCCATGATTTGCCTCATGTTTAATCCATGAGAAATGTAGTCTTGATGACAGCTGTTGGGAGAGCAGGCTTGAACCTCTACTTTTGTATTCAAAGTTAAACAATTAGTTTTGATGCTGGCTTCATGTTAAGCGTTTTTTGTTGTTGTTTCTAAGTGAGTCTTAATACTTACTAAGGTTTTTTAGAAGTGAGTAATTTTAATAATTTATGACTGACAATATTTATTTAACCCTCCAGGCTTCTGAATTACAGCTTATGTCTTCTGCCTCGTGGCATACGACACCCACCTTCCAGTGACATTTTTCCTTCTGTGTCCAAAGATAAACATGGAACTGGAAGTGCCAGTATTCAAGCCTGCAGTGCTGTGCTAGCCAAGGGTGGCATCTGTTACATAGGAGACTTAAGTTCATATAAAAAGGATAAACTTGAACTTCTACAGTCTGGTAATCTCCCACCTCCTAACAAATGAGGGGACAGAACTGAATAAATATGCAAATTCAAGGCTAGGTTTGTTCCCCAACAAATTATGGCCCTCAAAATGCTGCAAAAATCTGTACAGTTTTTAATGGGTCTGTGTAAGACACAAAGACAAAAAAGCCATGGTCCTGTAAACTTAAATCTGCTACACCACAGACATTCATTAATCATAAAAATTCAGCAAAATCATAATTGTGACTGATTTCAGATGTGTATCAGACTAGAATTTATATCTAAACTATATATCTCACATAACTGATGAATTTTGTCTTATCCTAGTGCTAGAGAGCAGAACAACAACAGTATTTATTCCTGGGAAGAAGTATGGAGAAGAGGCTGACCAGCAAGTTACTATTTCAGTTCAGACCAACTTTTGGTCCTTTGTAGATATGGACTCTTCCTCAAAGAAACATATACAAAAAGAGAATTTTCTAATTGGACAGATGGTAAAGTACATGTGTTATTATCAGAGGAACTGTGCTAAAGCTGTAATTTGTGTTTATTTCCACCTATAATGAAAACAATAAAACTTGTTAGTATTTCCAAGAAAGTCACAACTTAAGCAACTTTAAATCAAGTATCTTCTAAAATGAGATAGTTTTCCCAAAACAGTAGGTTTCATTCAAACAAAACTTTACCAAGTATTACAGGTATAATTCATTAGATAATCTTGCAGTGTAAGTGGATATAGGATATTTCAGTTATAAAACACCATGATGCTTCTACAAGTCAAAAGCCCAAAATAAAGTAGATGTTTTCTTTCTATGGGTCTTTTCTTTAGGATGTGAGTTTGATTCCAGTTAACCTTGTAGATGGTTTTGGGCTCCTGATCTACAATGAGTTTCCTTCCTGTCACCTGTCTTCTCCTGTTGTACATCAAATCTTGAAAAAAGCCATTAATCCTGAAGCCATGCTGTACAAAGTATCACATCAATTCAGAACACAGGATTATGAGGAGGTAACAGATTATACGCAGTAACTTAGAAATGCATTCTATTTGTGAATATCATACTGGGTTTGGTATCAGAAGGTTCTCTCTGCTGTCTGCTTACTTTTAATACTCACTTTCTACCCTTTCCCCCACCATATTTCCACTTGCACTATTAGGATCATTGACAAAAGCAGCTTCAGTTTTTGAAAAGGGTCAGTGTATAAATACAGTTTAAGCATGTTTCTGGAAAATGTACCAAGTTAACATTCATATGAGAACAGACCTTAAGTATTTTTGACCAAAAAGTTTACAATCAGTAGTAGAAGTTAATATTCCATTCTAATTCAGTTGTCAGTATCTGTAGCATAACAGATGATTCCCCCCAGAAGTGTTCAAGGCCAGGCTGGATAGGGCTCTGAGCAACCAGGTCTAGTGGAAACTGTCCTTGCCCACTGCAGAAGTTGGAACTGGATAATCTTTAAGGTCCCTTCCAACCCAAATCATTCTATAATTCTGTTTACTATCAAAGACCTGTCCTTATTATTATCCTTTATATTTTCCTTATTCAGCATAGCCAAATGGTGACAGCTGTTTTTACTATTAAAACTATTGGCAGAATGTATTGTCCAGCTTGTATTACTATACCACTGGTATATTAAATGGTGTGTAAATAGGTCAATTCCTTATTTTCCAGTTACATATTTAAAATGTATGCCCTCTCTCTAGTTTATTTTGTTTGCTAGGAATCTTCATGTTGAACTGAGTTCAGAAGCAGAAAGTCTCATTCAGGGCTATTATCTTGGAAGTCGCAGGGTGAGAAGAGATTCCATTCATGGATCTACATTATCAGCCTCTGCACTAAAAATTCTGTATGTCCTACTTTCCATTTTTAAAGAGAAATTGTGCTTATCTGTTCAGGAGCTTGTTTAATAAAAATCTACATAAGACTCATGTTTTGAAAAGTTCAAGCATAAATAATCTTATTTCCTATTTATTAATGCCATTTATTTCATATATTGACACTGCTACAAGAAACCCACATTCAACTTTGCCAGGCAAAAAAAAACAAACCCTAAACCCAGCTATTTACAGAACTTGTATCATTATTAAAGCTATCTAGAAAAAAAAAAAAGGGATTTAAATATGTACAGTTTTATTACGGCAGCAAAAAAAGAATTAATGGATAACATGCCCAGTTCCACTTTTCAGCACAAGAAGTTAATGTATAATATATATTTAGTCAGTGGTAAGTGTAACTGCAGAGCTGAAATACTAAAGAAAACACACCAGTGTTAACTTTTAGTTTACACAAGTGCTTGACACAAGGCAATAATACACATTGCATTCATGCCTGCAGTATGTTTTATTTCTGACATGCTTATATTAATCTCTTAGGATTTCACTGGCTAAGGCTCATGCCAAGCTCAGTTTAAGACAGAGAGTACTTGAGGAAGATGCAGTGATTGCCATCTTGTTACTTGAGTCATCGCTGACCCTAAAACATGGTAAATAATGCACAACAGTGCCTTAGTCTTGGGTGCATCACTGTCACATTTTGTCAGTCTGAAAGAAGTCTACATCCATTGACTGCAATAGCAGGTAATATCAAATCAGAATCCAGAACTTCCACTGTTGAAGACTGGTATTGGAGAACTCTGTCAGTTTGTCTCAGTGCTATATGTAACAAGGCCACAGGCTAGCAACAAGTCTGTCCTTCATGCTGGTTTACTTAAGGCACTGCTCCTCCAACACTGGCTAAGGTTAAACCAAGGACAGATTTTCCTTCCTGGGGAAACCAAAAACAAGGGTTGGATATTTTTTTGTTTATTAAGCATCAGTCATTTGTTCACACACAGATTTGGATGCAAGGTAAGAATTATGATCTAGGATTGCATTACTCCAACTAATTTGCATCACAGCTCTTTTTTTCCCCTCAAAATTCTGGCAAATATCAAGTCTTACAGCTTAATTTCTTCTTTGCCTAGGCACATCTGCATTATGTGTAGCACCAAATCCTGTATTTCCATTTGACCTCAGTGATGAAAGCTCCCTGCAACAGAGAGATATTTACCTCATGCAGTGTCACCATCAATTGCTGAAGTTTATTGCTGCCTATAGCCCAGGAATTCACATTAACACTAATGAAGAGTAAAATCTCCACTGTAAGTAAAGCCTGAGGCTCTGGCTTTTTGAGAGGCTACAGTTAGAAATACAAAATTACTAAAAACTTAGAAGACAGTTCAGTGATGTTTTACCAAGGAATAAAGCACAGCAGACAGGACCTGAATTACAAGTTTTTTGACTTATTTGAAGGGAGGAGGGATGTCTTCATCCTGGAAAACCATGGCTTCAGAATACAGTCCTAACCAGAACTTGTCTTCCTGGCTACCACTCTCCATTCACAGTTATGCAAGAAGTAATTTAGGGTTTGGGATTTTTAATAAGACTACAACTAAAAATTAAACCACCAGTTCAGAATCTAATGTTTTATTTCAGCTACCTCAATTCTGCGTTTTTTTCTTGTTACTTCCTTTCAAATGTATCAGTCAAAAGGTTAAGGAATTTTAAGAACATTAAAACTCTTCTTTTAATAGTTTAAGTCGACAGTCTTTACTTATGGTATATAGATTTTGAAATGTATAAAATATTATCATAGTGCTTCATGTTCTGTCTTTTTTTTTACGTTACCATGAGATTAAACAAGGATGCCAGACGTTCCTGCAACCAAAACAAAAAAGCCTGCAAAACAAACGAACTACAAAAAGAAACCCACCAAACCACCTCAACCTGCAAAACCCAGTGTTTCCACATTACTTTATATGGACTGCAGGGGACAGTAGAGTGCTACAGTTAGGTAAAAAAATATTAGACAACTTTTTAGGCAGACAGCTCAATGAGTTCAACTCTACCTCACTGTAAAAACAAATGAAGAATGCAAAGTAGGAGATGAGGTGTTTGGAACACAGTATGCTTCACCAGCTATGGGCTTTCCTGTGTTTCATCTTCCTAGTAAGGATGTAGCACTAGACATAATCCTCAGCAAGACTTGTATCCAAGACATACACATTAAATAAAAAAGCTGCAGTAGAATTGTACAGATTTCCTGTCAAATCTGGACAAGCTGAATACTTAAGGCTTGTTTTACTCCTACCCAGGACATCATCCAGCAGGATCAGAGTGCTAGTGCTCCCATAGCCTCAAATAAGTTACTGAAAACAGAAATCCAAGATTTTATTCATACCCACTGCTAACATCGTAAACACTCATTTAGGCAACAAGAATTTCCCCACATTTTAATCTTTACCTTATTCACTTTTGATCCATTTATTTGATACACTCAAAAATTCATACTAAGTTCTGAGACTGGCCATAAGGCTACTCTTCTTTCTAGAGTGACACTATACCCTGAACTTCATTCCAGGATTACAATTTTCAGTGAACAGTTACTCCCCTGCCATACTATGGAACCAAGCAGTATTTCTGATGAGCAAGAACGGCAATGGAAGCATTTCCAAGTGCATTAGAACTCCACATTCCAGACTGCTGTTTTCAAGCTAGGAACATTAACAAGTTAATTTCCTGTACACTTAATCTTACACAAAGGCATTACCCTCACTGGCACTTCAGATCTCAAGATACACATCAAAAAACATTCAGATGGGTAAACGGCAAAAGTCTCATCATTATGCCAGAAAAATTACTCTTTAAGGGTAGACTGAAATCCTTTATAAATCGCTATCTTTGAGAAGCAATATTAATGGCTTTTCTGCAAAAAGAGCACAACATTTTATCCTTGCTTTTCCCCAGTTTCTCCCATGAGCTCTTAAAAACAGGAAGACTTGTAGCAGTACTACAAGGAACTGATGTGGTTGCCAACATGGCCAGTACAGGCTTTCCCCAGATGGCAGTACAGCCTGCAGGAGCCTGGGTACTCTGACAATAAAAAAGCAACTGACCTCCTTAAACACCCACACTTCGACAAGTGGGTGAACTCTCCTGTTGGCCCTGTGTGCATACACAAGGCTGGAAGACAGTGGAGGTGGTCATCTGATGTCACAGAGCCTTAAAAAAAAAATAAATAAAATCAGAAATGACAGGAGCAAATCAAAGTGGAAAACCCCTACAGATTAGCTGGCACATCAGATATACAACACTGCTCATCACAGCCTTCAGATGGGTAAACGGCAAAGGGTCATCATCACTATGCCAGCAGTTTCCTGCCTACGTAAAACTGCTTTTTCCAGATACTAAATACAAGGGAATTGTTTAAGTTTGTCTCAAGACTTGTACTTCCACAAGCTGAAGCAGATCCTTCGTTTTAACTCTTAAGCATAGAACAGATTAAGCACAGCCAAGAACAAGAGAAAAACTGCTCTGTTTGGGCACAAAAATGCAGCTCCCTCTCTTACACTCAAACCCCAGATGCCAAGTATCTTTCTAGAGGTAAAGCTCACTACCAGTCACCTTTCCCTTTGGAATATGTTCCAAAACTGACACAGTTGAAGTGCCAGCACGGACTGTGAGCGTACTGTTTTTCACTTAATTCTCTCCCTTTCAACTAGCATCCATGAAGTCTTCAAATGAGAAGTCATGTTTTTCCAGTTAAAAACTAGGTTCTCTGATACGTTCAGCGTCAGAAGCCTCTCCCTTCTGACTCCTTTGGGATTCTTGGATTGCACCTGCTTTGTTCTGGGAAGCAAGCCTTAGGAGATTTTATAGCTGCCATAATACCTCCTGTTAGGATTTCAATCTCTTAACCCTACATACAATCTTATGTCTCCTTTTTCCATCTGTAAGGGACTTTCCAAGCCATTAAACAGCTTCAGAACTCTTGATCTGCATTTCATGATGCTTCCCTCAACAACTTTAAGTACAGTAAGAAATACTTGCTTTTGTAGCTCCAGAATTCATGTGGCATCTTTCTGCTTGCAAGGCATGGCAGAGTCCAGACTGAGGATTCCCAAAGCCAGTAACAAACTCATCTTGAGCTTCACTTTCTGCCTAAAAAAAATGAAAATATGTTTGATTCAGAGAGCTCCATTGCTGAGCCAGTAACAGAAAGCACTAACACTTCTTTGGGAACAGAAAGCCAGTCCAAGAAACACCAACCCCACACTCTCTTTCTAATTACCTGGGATAGACAGCGCATCAGCTGAGATCAATGTTAAGCAGAGGCACGACCATTTTCCTTAAACAGTGTGAGGAATGACTGATTGCAGGACAAGCACAGTGCTTCTAATGACCAGCCAGGCTGGGGAGAGGAGCACCCTGGCAAGGAACAGCCTTTAACTTAACCCCAGTTCACGTGTGACACCCTGGGGAACTCACTGACGTTTTACCACCAGTTGAATTGAGGTCAACACTCACACTGCAGTCTGTAATGCAGGAGAGCATTACCCCAGAGGCTGCTGATACTCTTGGGGCCCTGTCCCTGCCCAACCCCACCAGTTAGGATCTGTGCCTATAACCCAAAAAAGGGCATAGTCTGGGTCACCTCACAGCCCTTGCCCAATTCCCTAAAGGAAAAAGAAGGTCATTTATCTTTTGGATTATGACAGACATTTGCTGATGAAAACGATCTGTCAGCAAAACCAAGTGTATTTGAGTGTCCAATCTGTCATTCCTTTCAAGACTTGATGTGCCAAGAGACAGCTCGAGGTAAGCACCACGTGGCACACAGTAATTAGGTCCATCGCGGACTCCCACGGCACCCGCTCTCCTGGGCAGCCTGTGTGGCTGCAGTGTCAGCCTGAACTACTCCACCCTAGCGCCCAGGGGAAACACAGGCACAGTTACGGCAGCATGACAATCACTGCACTTCCAAGTGACAGCTCTGGCTGTTTAGAAAAGCACCTGCAAGCTGTCCCTGCAATTCCTGAGATAATGGCCACTGCTTTGGCCTGCCATGTCGGGATTTCTCACATTAACCACATGGGAGCATTTCTAATTCCTCTGAGAAGGCCAGAAATCACCCCGCTGTTCAGACGAGCATTTGCATGGACTGCTGAGCTAGTTCCAAGGGGCACGGTGGAGGTCGGGCGGCTGAGGAATCACACGGATGGCTGCGGATCCACACGGCAGGATCACGGAATCACAGAATGTTAAAGGTCCGGAAACGAACCTTAGCGACCATCCAGTGCCAACCCCTTTCTTGCCACGGGCAGGGACACCGCCCACTAGACCAGGTTGCTCAAGGCCTTATCCAACCCGGCTTTACACACCACCATGGGCTGGGGCACTCAAAACCTTCCTGTTCCAAAGGCCTCACCACCCTCACAGGAAAGAATTTCCTTCCAATAGCTAACCTCAACTTCCCCTCTTTCAATTTGTACCTATCAGGCTCGGCAGCCGCTGCTGCCGCTCCCACGCCCGAGGCCGGGGCACGGCGGGACGGTTCCCAAGCCACGGATCAGCACGGGCACGTCCCACGCCCGGGCATTCCTTCCCTTCCTCCCAAACACCGCTCGGGGCGCCGCTCGCCAGCCCTGGATCCGCCGCCGAAGGGGCCCCCGCAGACACGGGCCGGCTCCCGCCACATCCATCCACGCACCCAGCGAGGCACGCACCCCGACCAGAGGCGGCAGCTCCGGTTCTCCCCTCGGAAAGGGCGAGTCCCGGCCGACATCCCGCTAAATACGCGGCGCTCCGGGGCGGGGCGGGCGCGGCGCCTTCCGGCTGCGCGCGCACAGGGACGCGGGGAAAGCGGCGAGGGGCGGGATTGGGAAATTGAGGGAAAGCGATTCGTGACCGCGGGCGCTGTTGGAGCTGCGAGCGGCCGGGAGAGCAGCGCCTCTGCTGTGGCCGCGGGAAGTTCGCCTGTCCCAGCCCTCCGAGGTAAAAGCTGTGATGACAATGACCGAGGTTTGCGAGATCTTTTAGGTCTTTCCTCCTTGAAGAATGCCACCTTTTGATAACAGTGTATAGAGTTTACAAGTGTGTTCCTAGGCAGGTGCATATTGCTAGTGTTAAATGCCAAACTCTCGTGTTTCAGTATATGAGGATATGAACTGTTCCTAGGAAATGTAGCACTGGCACCAAACATCAGATTTCAAGCAAACTGGTTCAGAGGATCTGTTGTTATCCTGCTGTGTAAATTTCTGAAAGATAAAAGCTCTTGCCCTAGTCGAAGAAAGTGTTAGTTGCCTAAGCTGGTGTCTTCGTTCTGGAAGGAAAGGCATAATTCTGATGCAGAATAATCTGTCTCAAGAAAAAAACCAAACAAACCCTACTCATCAATATGGGTAACTCAACTGAAAAACTGCAGTTGTAATTCTGCATGTTCTTACAAGCCCATAATAATTCCATAAAATGCTGGAAAAGTCTTAGGGATATGGCTAGAGCAAGTAGTTACAGTGCTTGCTGCTCCAATTCTCTGGCTGCCTGCAGAGCATTGTAAATATTTAGTTATAAATACTACAGGGGTTGTAGAGAGCTCCAGATTTGACCATACTTTTTTACAAAAGTTGCTCTTGGTAGTATTTTTTGTTCTCATTTTTTCCTAAATGTCATTTTAAAATTTAAAGTCTTCGGAAGGAAGACAACATCGATAAGTTCAGAATATTATTATGTACAATGAAAAAGTGATACAGGTCTTGCAGCTCAGTGATAAAGAGTCTGAGATGTATTCTCTGTGCCATCCATTCATGACTTTCCACCTTTTTTAACCCTTATTGTTAAAGCATTTTTCATGCTTGCAGAAT